TTGTGGACTGATGAAAGTAAGATTGTTCTTTTTGGGTCTAGTGGCCGGAGACCGTTTGTCAGACGACCCCCAAACACTGAATTCAAGCCACAGTACACTGTGAAGACAGTGAAGCATAGTTGCGCAAGCATCATGATATGGGGATGTTTCTCATACTACAGTGTTGGGCCTATTTATCACATACCAGGGATCATGGATCAGTTTGAATACATCAGAATACTTGAAGAGGTTATGCTGAAGAGGAAATGCCCTTGAAATGTGTGTTCCAACAAGACAATGACCCTAAACACACCAGTAAACGTGCAACATCTTGGTTCCAGACCAACAAGATTGACGTTATGGAGTGGCCAGCCCAATCCCCGGATCTTAATCCAATAGAAAACTTGTGGGGTGACATCAAAAATGCAGTTTCTGAGGCAAAACCAAGAAATAGAGAAGAACTGTGGAATGTAGTCCAATCATCCTGGGCTGGAATACCTGTTCACAGGTGCCAGAAGTTGGTTGACTCCATGCAACACAGATGTACAGCAGTTCTCAGAAACAGTGCTTATACAACTAAATATTAATGAAGTGATTCAAAGGAAAGCAAAATCTTCAAACATTTTTCAGTTTATATAGTGAATGTTTGAGTTTGTAAAGAAGAATACAAGCACTGCTATTTATTTTGAACAGTCTAATATTCACTTTTCTTCAATTTTTTCTAGAGGAACAACACAAATTTGATATATTTTTTCTTCATGTTTTGATTTGGAATAGAATGTGTAGTGTTCCCAATGCATTTTTTTGTGTATGGAAATAAAAGCTATTAGAAGGATTTTGAGCTTTATTCACTTTTTTTTCACACTGCTATTATTTTGAACACAACTGTATGTATTTAGAGCAGATGCACATTTTTTAAAGCTACCAAATATACACTCACCAGCCACTTTACACTTATTAGGTACACCTTGTTAGTACCAGGTTGGATTCCCCCCCCCCCCCCCTTTGCCTTCAGAACTGCATTCATTCTTTGTGGCATAGATACAAGGTGTTGGAAACCATTCCTCAGATATTTTGGTCCATATTGACATGAGTTACTGTTGCCTTTCTATCATCTCAAACCAGTCTGCCAATTCTCTTCTGACATCAACCAGACATTTTTCTCCACACAACTGCCGCTCAATGGATAAATTCAATTTTTTGGGCCATTCTTTGTAAACACTAGAGATGGTTGTGCATGAAAATTGCAGTAGATCAGCATTTGTTGAAATACTCAGACCAGCCCGCCTGACACAAACAACCATGCCACATTCAAAGTCACCTAAATCACCTTTCTTCCCCATTCTGATGCTCGGTTTGTAGACGTAGTGAAGATAACTTGCTGAAGTACAAAGTGTGCACAATTATTAGGCAAGTTGTGTTTTTTTTTTTTTTTTATAGGATTATTTCATTATTGAACAACTACAGTGCTCTTGGACAATCCAAAATGTTAATAAACCTGAATATTTAAGAAAATAAAAGTGAGGTTTTGGCTTTCTTAGAATACCTACAGTCAGGTCCATAACTATTGGGACATCGACACAATTCTAACATTTTTGGCTCTATACACCACCACAATAGATTTGAAATGAAACGAACAAGATGTGCTTTAACTGCAGACTGTCAGCTTTAATTTGAGGGTATTTACATCCAAATCAGGTGAACGGTGTAGGAATTACAACAGTTTGCATATGTGCCTCCCACTTGTTAAGGGATCCTTTGCAGTCAATTACAGCCTGAAGTCTGGAACGCATAGACATCACCTGACGCTGGGTTTCATCCCTGGTGATGCTCTGCCAGGCATCTACTGCAACTGTCTTCAGTTCCTGCTTGTTCTTGGGGCATTTTCCTTTCAGTTTTGTCTTCGGCAAGTGAAATGCATGCTCAATTGGATTCAGGTCAGGTTATTGACTTGGCCATTGCATAACATTCCACTTCTTTCCCTTAAAAAACTCTTTGGTTGCTTTTGCGGTATGCTTTGGGTCATTGTCCATCTGCACTGTGAAGCGGCGTCCAATGAGTTCTTGGCTGAATGTGAGCAGATAATATTGCCCGAAACACTTCAGAATTCATCCTGCTGCTTTTGTCAGCAGTCACATCATCAATAAATACAAGAGAACCAGTTCCATTGGCATCCATACATGCCCACGCCATGACACTACCACCACCATGCTTCACTGATGAGGTGGTATGCTTAGGATCATGAGCAGTTACTTTCCTTCTCCATACTCTTCTCTTCCCATCACTCTGGTACAAGTTGATCTTGGTCTCATCTGTCCATAGGATGTTGTTCCAGAACTGTGAAGGCTTTTTTAGATGTCGTTTGGCAAACTCTAATCTGGCCTTCCTGTTTTTGAGGCTCACCAATGGTTTACATCATCTTGTGGTGAACCCTCTGTATTCACTCTGGTGAAGTCTTCTCTTGATTGTTGACTTTGACACACATACACCTACCTCCTGGAGAGTGTTCTTGATCTGGCCAACTGTTGTGAAGGGTGTTTTCTTCAGCAGGGAAAGAATTCTTCGGTCATCCACCACAGTTGTTTTCCGTGGTCTTCTGGGTCTTTTGGTGTTGCTGAGCTCACCAGTGTGTTCATTCTTTTTAAGAATGTTCCAAACAGTTGTTTTGGCCACGCCTAATGTTTTTGCTATCTCTCTGATGGGTTTGTTTTTTCAGCCTAAATGGCTTGCTTCACTGATAGTGACAGCTCTTTGGATCTCATCTTGAGAGTTGACAGCAACAGATTCCAAATGCAAATAGCACACTTGAAATGAACTCTGGACCTTTTTATCTGCTCATTGTAATAGGGATAATGAGGGAATAACACACACCTGGTCATGGAACAGCTGAGAAGCCAATTGTCCCATTACTTTTGGTCCCTTAACAAGTGGGAGGCACATATGCAGACTGTTGTAATTCCTACACCATTCACCTGATTTGGATGTAAATACCCTCAAAGCTGACAGTCTGCAGTTAAAGCACATCTTGTTGGTTTCATTTCAAATCCATTGTGGTGGTGTATAGCGCCAAAAATGTTAGAATTGTGTCGATGTCCCAATATTTATGGACCTGACTGTATGTGTGCACAATTATTGGGCAACTAGTAGTGTACAGAATTATTATACAACTAAATGATAACCAATAATTTTCCCATCTCATTTGTTTGTTTTCATAGGTTAAAGAATAATGAACAAACGACTCAAAATTTACAAATAAACATTTCTGACATTTAAAAAAAGAAAATCAGTGACCAATATAGCCACCCATCTTTTCAATAATAGTCATAAGCCTTCCATTGGTGGAGTCTGTTAGCTTCTTGATCTGTTGTTGATCAGCTTTTTGTGCAGCAGCAACCACACAGCCTCCCAGACACTTACAGTGAAGGAAAACTCTATACCTGTCTGAACAGTCTCCCATTTTTAAGAAGGGCACACAAGTTCTCAATAGGGTTTAGGTCAGGTTAGGAAGGGGCCATGTCATTATTCTTTCATCATGAAGACCTTGACTGGCTAGCCATGCAGTGGTGTACTTCGATGCATGTGATGGCGCATTGTCATGCATAGATATCATGGTCTTTTTGAAAGATGCAAACTTTTTTTTTTTTTCTGTACCACTGCTTGAAGAAACTGTCTAAGAACTGGCAGTAGGTTTGGGAGTTGATTTTGACTCCATCTTCAACCTAAAATGGTCCAACTAGCTCTTCTATAATAATACCAGCCCATACCAGTACCCCAGCTTCACCTTGCTGGCGTCTGAGTCAAAGTGGAGCTCTGTGCCCGTTACTGATTCAATCATGGACCCATCCATCTGGTCCATCAAAAGTCGCTCTCATCTCATCGGTCCAGTCTTGACGTTTCAACTTTTGTCTTGTTCAGTGGTGGTCAGGTTTTAGCCTTCCTTACCTTGGCCATGTCTCTGAGCACTGAACACCTTGTACTTCATGGCACCCCATGTAGGTTGCAGTACTGGAATATGACCGCGCTGAAGGATAATAGGTTCCTGGTAGCTTTACTTTTTTATTCTTCACAAATCTTTGGTAGTTAATTTGCATCTTTTTTTTTTTTTTCTTTTTCTCAACTAGTTTCTTGTGACCCTATTGACTATTTGCGACAAAACATTTGATTCTGTGATCACGCCCCGATAGCATAGCAATTTTGAGTGCTGCATCCCTCAAAAGACTTTTTACAATTTTTTACTTTAATTCTTTAAATTTCTTTCTTTTACCAACTTTACCTGAGGAAAAGTAGCTGCCCAATAATTATGCTTGATATAGGGTTTTGATCCCCTTAGGTCACACCCTCATTACACAAATACACATCACTTAATATGCTTAAATCCAGTAAGCATTCAAATTTATACAGCTTGGAGCAACCAAAATGATGATATGGTCAAAATACTTGCTGAATAATTGTGCACACCATGTACATGCCTAAATACATCGAGTTGCTGTCATGTGATTGGCTGATTAGCAATTACCAAGCAATTGAACAGGTGTACATAATAAAGTTGTCAATGAATGTATTTCTACCTTCAGGCTTAATTAACTTGACGAAAACCTGTACTGGTGAAATAACGCATAATACCAGTGCTGGCCTTCCCATGAATTTTTTTTTTTTTTTATATTTTATTTATTTTTACAGTTCATTTAATTGAAATATTTATAAATGGTCAGTGAATTTGAATAGAATAACTGACTTAAATCATAAGATAAAACATATTAAGGTCACAATGATTTACCTACAAGATTAAATGCTTGCATCTAAAAATATTTTATAGGGTTAGCAATGCATCCCTGTATAATAGATGGGCTGTTTTGTGCAGAGATAATACATTAACATCTGTCACCGAATGGAGGCATGGGGAAGTTATATGGTTCATGCAAATGAGAACACCGTGAGACAAGGACTTCGAAAAAATTAAAGTGTGCAGAAGGAGTCGTGCATTATTAATCAGTCTGAATTATTTTCTTTTGGATGCAATTATGTTCCCTGGTGAGATTTTTTTTTTTTTTTTTTTTTTTTTCTCTTTTTTCTTGCAGGTACCATTCCAAGTGCTGCCAGGAGAGAGTGTGGAGTATTTGGGGAGTGCAAATGATGCTGTCATAGCGATATCCAACTACAGACTGCACATCAAGTTCAAAGACTCCGTCATTAATGTAAGCACATATAAAATGCTAACAGTGGTTATACACAGGTGGTTATATTTCGTAAAGTAGGCAAGAACCAATACAAGCGCACAGAGGGACATTTTTATCAAGCAAAATATGACCCAAATCAGTCTGCTTTTCAGCTAGAAAAGTATATTCAACAGTTTTAATGGTCTATGTGTTTGTGATCCCTGAGGCTGGAATTTGGGGCAACAAACTGAGATAGATTTACAGTGGTCTGAGACCAATTTAGTACTGAAGATGAGACCAACTTTCACTTTAAACAGACACTATTAAGGTGATGTATGACCAAAGCTCTTTTGACCGTGCTTCTGCTGTGGGTCAAAGGAGTGCACTTAATTCTGCACTCCTGTGACCCAGATTCAGCCAACAGTGGGCTAAATTCTAATATTGGCTGATGACACAAAGCCGGTTCAGGCTCTGCAGGGATCAGTAATGTCTATATCCGCCCAGATGCCTGTACAGCAGCCTCTCCATGTACTGCTCTAGTGAGTGCTGGAGGGGCAGGGCAGGCATCGCCTCGGAACTGAGTGATTAGCAGTCTTTGATAGCTCAGTTCTTGGTGTAGAGGTGCACTTGATTTTTAAGATTGGGGGGAGCAAGTGTTATTCTGTTGTAGTGGAACTTTAGCGCAGCAGAATGAAGAATGTATAAATGAAGCAGAAATCCTTTAACACTGCTCTTGTTTAGCATTGCCTTGGTTGTCAATAGAATTTATAAATGTCTGCCATAGTGCACACATTTGACAATCAGATTTTAGAGTAGGTATGTTTTAATTGTCTGTATTGTATGATTAAGCTCTGCCCATCACCATTCCATTTGATTCAGACTTTCCTTAAAGGGGTATTAAACCCAAAACTAAAAAGGTGATCTATTGCAGCTTACTAATCATGTGGTGGCTGCATTAGTTGTTTTTTTTTTTTTGTTTTTTTTTTGGGGGGGGTTCTTTGCCCCTCAGTTTTCACCTGGTGATCTGACCAGTAACACTTTCTGTATTAGAGTGCCCCAGCCTAGATGGAGCACAGGGGACACCTTTTGGACAGCAGGTTTAATATGGGGGGGGGGGGGGAGAGAGTGTTTGATGTTCTAGCAGATTTAGATACCCTAAAATAATTGCAGTCAAACTCCAGCTCACACTTTATAGGCAGCAGTTACTGCAGTTTTGTTTCCTTTTGGGATAAAGGTGTTGCATAAATAAATGCAAGCTGTTTATTGTAAGCACCACATCAGTGATAAATGGTTTGTCTCCTCCTTCTAATTGATACATCTGCAATATAATAACCATTTGTGCTTTTGGATTTAATAAACCGTTAATGAATCAATGGAATAAATAAATGTATGTGTGTGTGTGTGTGTGTGTGTGTGTGTATATATATATATATATGTATATATATATATATATATATATATATATATATATATATATATATATATATTATTTATTTATTTATTTCTTTCTGTTGTTGTGTGGGGGGTTTTTTTGTTTTTTGTGTTTTCCCCAAGAAATCAACATAGCTTTCTATACTACCGATTTCTGCTCTGTACTGTCAAGACCAGTAGTAGGCCTTGTATACATTTCTACAAAAAGGAAGAAATCCAACACCTAATGTGGTTTATAAACCAGCTTAAAAAACAGCCAGATTGCAAATACTTTGTTTTTTTGTAATGCTCTTAAAAAAAAAAAAAAACGAACTGGCAGGGATGGTGGTTTCTGCCCATTAAGAAACATTCTCACTAGTCAATTGAGGACAAAAGTGACAGTGCTAGAATCCCATTCCTAGCAAAGTATACCTGCCGTTCATCCTCCTTACTACAAAAGTCCACCTTGCGGAAGCTTTGATATCAGAGCTTACAGGGTGCATGATGTCACTGCCCTCTTAGATGATAGTGATCAGGTCTGGAGATTGGCTGTTTATGTAGGGGAGGTCACCTGCTCCCCCATACTCGAAACCTCACTCTGTTAGGAAAGCAGAGTAAGGGTTCCTTCAGGGTGGCAAAGAAGCATGGCATGAAGAGTATACCTTGCTTGAAGGGCAGGGCTATTAGGAGACCTGGGGTCAATTCACAAACTCTTATCTCATGAGATGTTTGTGTTTTATATGCACATTTCTCATGCAATACATAAGGTTTCAATTCACATCGGTAAATGTTGTAATTACCTGTGGTAAATATCACAAGAAAAATGCAGTATTACATTACCAATCCTTTCATTATCTTGTAGTCTAGCCACTGCGGCTTGACAAATCTATAAATTAAGAGCTGAAATATTTAGCAGCCTTTAACCTTCAACTGCTAAATGTGACAGTTTTTTTTGCAATGAGAACAAGGGTCCCTTCCCCACAGCCCTGATTAATGGTTGTGGGGGTTTCAACTTCCTGATAACCAGCATCTCTGAACTAGAATTGTTACATTTTTGCAGTGTTAGGAATGCCACTGCCTAAATGTTTTATAAATCTGGCATGAGTAATTTCAGTGCAAACTTTCATGCTGTATTTATCGCTTAGTGAATTGACCTCTCTGCCACTTTCGCCCTGATTGGGCAGATGCTTAAATTAAATCAAAGACTCCTACTCTACCTGAAATATTGTAAATCAAAGTGATTGCAGCAGTTGTTGACATTCAAAGAAATGCATACAAAAAAAACCTGCGCAATCAAAATATAGAATCTTAAACACCAAATGAAATAATGTGACAAAATAATAATTATCATATAAATGCAATACATCCGCGTAAATTTTACAAATGCATTAAAAAACCCACATCTTTATGTATATATTCATTACATATAAAGTGCCAATCTCAAACCTCTATTGTTGTAAAGAATATTCACATCTGCGCAGATGCAAAAACAAACCACAGTGAAATAATGAATATATGTAAGTGAAAAGTCCACAATTTTTTCTTCTTCCATCTTAAAATGAGTTTTGGTGATCTCTTTGCAGGTGCCTTTAAGGATGATTGAAGCTGTGGAGAGCCGTGACATGTTCCAGCTACAAATTATTTGCAAAGACTCCAAAGTAGTGAGGTATATACTTCCTTTATTTATTTTTATTTTTTCATTTCATTTGAGTCGCCTACCACAAAAAAAAAAGTAATATTTAAAGGGAGCAAAGCTGAAAATCTGTAGTGATTCTCTATTGCAATACTTGGCCACCAGAGGACAACAAGAATATTTCTGCTCCTCGGTCTAGTACACAGTTTCATTTGATGGCTCATTTTGCACGTTATTACTGAAGCGTAAAGCTGAGTTCAGGTACAGTAATGTTCTAGCCTCTAGTAAGGAATTCTTCTGCATTCTGCCTTTAATTCAGCTGCCTCTGCAATTTAATTACAGTGAACTTATGTTTTATTCTCTGTTAACAAACATTTTATTCAGTTTAAGAAAAACAGTTGATTATATTGTAGTAATTCTGTCAACCCAAAATGTATCCCCACCTCGCTTTTTTGAAGATGCTATGATATCAAATTGTCCACCAATGCCATTGTTCATTTACCGTGCTAATGCAGTGCTGAAATATGATTCCCTCTTTGATTTGCAGATGCCACTTTTCTACATTTAAGCAGTGCCAAGAGTGGTTGAAGAGGCTGAGCAGAGCTACTGTACGTCCCACCAAGCAAGAAGATCTTTTTGCATTTGCCTATCATGCATGGTGCCAGGGGATCTGCTCTGATGAGGAAGAGCATCATGTCCACCTCTGTCGTCCAGGTAAGAAAGAGCCATAAACAAAAAAAGGCAACCATTCCAACGAATAACCAGCCTTGGCAGTAAGCTGCACATGGAAGGGCAATGCACATCGCAAACAAACAAAAGGATTTCCCAGCAACACTTACCAACCAGCTTGCAAAACAACCAATTTAGCCCTGTGTAACAGTTTGCATTAAAAACTGGGGGTTTTGTTTGCACACGTTTGCAAATACATGCGTAAACCATAGTCCCACGTCAAGGGTCCTCTGTATACTGTGGACCTAACTAAAATTTCCAAAGCCTCCGTAGTAGGAGCACATGTATAAATAGATAGGTTAATGGCAGGTGTGCCTGGAGGAGCCCATCCCTCACAGGTACAGGGACGCACGTGATGCCCAGCTATACCAAAATTACAGCCATACATTTTAACAATGGGAGTTCTTATGATCCAGACATCTGTTAGATAGCACAGCCAGGTGCTCAGACACTAGCAATGCAGCCTGCTGCTTGGACAGTGATATGGCATACAGTTACTGATGTTGGTGTCCCCACTGGGCAGATTTACCTCTTTGTCTTGGTGACCATTGTCACTGAAAGAGAAAGTGAGGGGAAATTCCAGAATTTTAGTGTTGTCGTCAGAAGATCAGTCTCCCAATGGTCATATCCTGCTTCTACAAACTGTCATCAAGATCTTTGTCCACTTTAAGCCTAAAATTTGGCTTAATGTATTATGAATGTAGACTTTGTTACAAAGTTTTACTGGTATAAGGATTTGTGATAATGCCTTCCCATCACAAAAGCCTTGAAACATTTTTTGACATTTGTAATACTTTTTACAGAATACATGGTAGTATTGCTGCTTATATTTTGGAATTCGCTGTTTTCCCTAACGTTCTCCTTCACTTTTCAATCGTTCTTCTTATTCAGTGTGGACTGACCAGATTTGAGATGGGTGTGCTGTGGATGTATATAAAGCTGTGACATAGAACAGCAACACCTCAACTGTACACTATCTTTAATAAAGTACTATCCTGGATCCAGGGCCGGTGCTAGACTATTTTGCATCCTAGGCAATACCAGCTACTTGCACCCCTCTCCCCCCAAAATAAATAAACGTTTTTAAAAACAGTAGAAAATATGAAATCAGGGGTCCTCAAACTACGGCCTGCCGAATACATTTATCCGGACCAGCCGGGGAGAAAAACCGGCGCTGGCCAGCAAATAGCTAACTACTCACTGGGTCCTTCTCTGCGAAGGACTGGGCGAGCGGCAGTCTGCAAGCCCCGGATTTCACTTGCTGCAGACAGGAGCAACAGGACAGGAAAGGAGGAGAGCGCAAAAGATACAGTGCATTGCGGTTTCCAGTGTATCAATGTACAGTGCATTTCGGTGTTCAGTGTACATTGCATTGTGGTGTCCAGTGTGTTACAGTGTACAGTGCATTTTAAATATTTTATTGGGTTTTTTTTTCCTGTTTTTTTGCACTACAACTAAGATATATGTGTGGCGTGCATGGTAACTTGTTCATGGTTTTCTCAAACTATAGTCCGGCCCCCCAACAGTGTGAAGGTCTGTTAACTAGCCCCCTGTTTCAGAAGTTTGAGGACCCTTGTATTAAATGAACAAAACATGAAACTACTAAATTTCTATTAATTTGCAAATTATAGGTGCCAAAGGATACCACCAGCAGCAATATTAAAGACAAAATCTGTGTCATGGACGGACTGTATCCGTGACTGGCAGTGGCATTGTGACAGTTGCAGTGAGTGGAGGATGATGATGGATCTACACTCTGACAGATCCCAGGCTTGAATTCCCCAGGCAATGGGAGGGAGATAAAACGCTGTGACAGCAGGCAGCCCAGCCCACACAGAACTGAGTGATCCCACACAGTGACAGATCCGACACAACACACTGACACAGATCAGCAGGCACTGGAAGAGCAGGCTGTGGGACCGTGATGATCTCACTTACTGACACATTGCACGTGTGGATGGCAGGCTGGTCAGGTTACACTCAGACATGAGACATCAGAGTAAGACATTACCTTCCTCCGCAGGCACAGCTCTGCCTCTGCTGATGAATGGGAAGAAAAGGACTGGAACTCAGTGATCAGCAGCCGCCAGCCGGCTTGCAGTAAGGGATTGAGTCTGAGAGGAACACTGGAAGGAGCAGCAGCACCGCTGCTACACTGGCCCCAGACACCCAGCATCTTCCTCTGCCCTTTCTTCCTCCCCTCAGCCAAAGGATCATTTGTGATGTGGTGGCGTCCCACACAGAGAGAGTGCTGGCTTGTGCTGTGCCCAGGCGCCCCTAGTTGGCAGTGCACCCTAGGTGGCTGCCTAGTTTGCCTAGTGGAAGCATCAGCCTGGATCAACTGTTTTTGAAATCACTAGGAAGGCCAATTAATGTAAGCTCCTTATTGGAATATGATGCGGGGTCTTTTTGAGCTGTACCTGCTACCAAATTTTTTTTTTTTTTTGTCCTTGGTAATGCCCCTGTGCCTGACCAAGAATTTCTTCTAACGTTCATGTTCGAGTACAAACTACACACAAAGCAGTTGGCCTCATTTACACTCTAAAGAAGTGGAATTTAGTTCTGGGGGAACGTGTTGAGTCAAGTCTTATCCTCTGTGCCTAATCTGCTGTATCAGTATAAGAATTAATAATTGATCGTGGAATGCATGCAGTTGCAACTGTGTACATCAGACATACAGAAATTTTCTTCAGTGTCTAGTAGGTGTGGGTTGGGGCCATTATTTATATATATATATATATATATATATATATATATATATATATATATCCCAATGCATTGACAAGTCAATTTCCCTTGAATGTGCAAAAAAAAGGGAGGGCAGACTCTACTTCGAATATTATATATATAATTTTTTCACCATGATGCACAAATATTAAGATTTTAATTTAGTTTGGGTGAAAAAAATTGTAGCATGTACAATCTGTGATTAAACACACCTGCATCGCTGCCTTTACAGCACACACCAGCAGTTGCAGTATGTGGCTGCTGGTGCTAACAATCCCCTAAAGCGTTCTGATTGAACCTTTTAGGTCCTGTTCGCATTTGGCATGTGTTTGGAACTCAGAACTGCACCATGTTTAGGTGCCGTTGAAAATGAATGCCACCTGAGCATGCGTGGTGTGTTTTGCCACTATTGCAGTGCCTTTTGAGATCACAGGCAGAATCGCAGAGATTCTGCCCGAGATTCCAAAACCCCAGAAGTGAATGGGGCCTAAGGCAATTTTCTGTCTTGTTAGGGTATCTTGTGTTTTTTGACCTTGTGGCTGGCATTTATTATGCTGGTGGGTGCAAGTTTGTGAATTTTATCAGAAAAAAACATTATATAGAAGCTTACACTGGTGCGGGAGCATGGTATACAGATACGATTTCAATGCAACAGCATGGGTAACTCATAGAAGGAATGTACTATGTTAAACAAGAAAATTGATTAGCACTATATACAGTATGTATATCTCGATTAATCTCTTTCATAGGTTATGTATTGAGTGCAGCAGATAATGTGCTTCATAACTTTGTTCCATAACTTTCCTCTAGACAGCTTTGAGTGCTTGAATATGTGTGGCTAACTTATGTAACTGTGAATGGGTTTATTTTAGGTGATCATGTGAAGGATCGCTTCCAGATGGAGTTGCTAAGGATGGGCTTTGATATGCAGAATGCCTGGAGAGTGTCTGAAATCAACAACAACTACAAGTGAGACATTCAGATTCACAGTGTGATACAGAATTCAGAGCAGATTATCCTTTTTTGGTAGAAATGCATGTTTGAAACCAGAATTTACATCATTTTTGAAATTATAAATGTAGTACTCCCTGTTGGTGTTCATCCATCATTCTTTTTAGGGATTGTACCATCACATCACTAGGGGTCACAAAACATTATTATTTTGTTTTACGCTCGTATTTTGTGCACATTTAGCATTCCTTTTCTTCTCCAATGTCAATAGACTGTGTCATTTCATAGCCTGAGTTGTGTATTTACAGATTGGGAAATCTGCTTAATTCAATGGATAGGTCATATTTTGAATAGGTTCCCATTCTGCATTGCTATATGACACTGTTTACATGATTAAATGAAACCTGTGTTTAAAAATGAGGATCAGCAACGTCAGAGTGACATTGGAACTCCTGATCTACATACTTGTTCTGGATCAGTGACTCAGAATGCAATTAAAGCACTGATTTACCATAACAGCCAGGCAGCTAGAGTTTTCAGAAAGCAAGGCAATCAGTGGCAGCCCTCATACTTCCGCAGTGCCAGTTTCCTTGAAATTGGATGAAACACACCTATAAATGACCCCTGACACTTGCGCTGTATGGTTCTTAAAGTGCTGCTTTTAAAAATCTGGGAAGAAGCTGCGCAAACTGTTGGCGCTATATAAATCCTGTATAATAATAATAATTTCTAAAATAGAAGTAAAAGTAGGTCTAAACACAAGCACTGATCCTCATGTAAGCTTTAACATGTTAATGTAATTCTAAAATCTATGTTTAATCTTTACATCCGCAGATTTTATTAAAATACCTGGTGATCCTTCCGTGAAGGATGACATTTGTCTTTTCATTTTCCTGCATTGTCATTCTGTTACGTGTGCCCCAGGTGGAGACTATATGTGACTGTACTAACAAATTGCACAGACTTGGTCCACCATTGTCATTGTTGGGAAGCTGATCCAGGGCTTGTGTAGATGTGCAGCTAAAGCTGGAATGAATGCATGCAGATGTGAACTAGCTGAAAGAGAATGGAGAAGATCAACAGCACTACGATGCAAATAAAAGTTTGAAAGTGAAAACTGTGTTTTATTTAGAAAATGACAGTTGTTTATAATGTGCAATGCTTATCAAAATAATTGTCTCCAATTGGGGTTCAGATCTACTTTATGGCTTCTTTTTTTTTTAGGGAGGAAATGACCACATACTGTATAAGTAGATAGATTAGGGAGTGATTAGAACATCTTCCTGATAATACTGTCTGTGTCCTTGTTGAGGGGATTTCCCGTCAATTCAGAAAATGAATGGAAATCTCTCCAGTGGGGATAAAAACCGCAATAAAAATGACACTTCCCTAGGAAAATTTCCTTTATTACAAAACCTCCAATATTGGATATAGTCTGCAATAAAAACTTGAAAGAGGCTTTAATCTTTCAATGCTGTATTCAAAATGTGATGAAAAGGAAAAGGTCTTGGCCAGAGTTTGGTTTTAATTAGAAATTTTTAATGTCCTGCTAATTATATGTAACAAATGTTGCTTACATTTAAAGGGGAATTGAACTTTGGAAACTGTGCCCCAAAAAAGCAAAGGGCAAATATTTTCCAGTGCTGCCTGTGGTCTCCCTGCAGTTGATCTTTCCCCCATCCTTCCTCCATCCATGCAAGCAAGGTGGATAGAGGAATCCTCCCTACTGAGACAGTGTATTCTAGGACTCTCTGCTGTCAGAATACACTGATCAGTGGTTGCAGCCACTGATCCAGAACAATTTTCCAACAAGCCCGTTTGACAGAGGACATCTGCTGAGCGGAAATGGCCACGCATGGATTGGAATTAGTCGGGACCGACTGAATTTCGATCCATCTATAACCAGCTTTAGTGTGCTTTGCTCTGCACTGTGTCCCTATGTGGAGGCAGTCATCATGGTAGAAGCAGAACTCTGCTTCCTCCTTGTCAGAACCTTTAGCAAGAGCCGTGAGCAGCGCAGTAGTGACATTAAATCTCCTGAGACTGGCAATCATGGGCAGTGGTGCATTGCATCACACACTGCAGATATAAAACTGAGGCTGTCAGAACAACAATGCCTAGGCATCCGCACATACCAGGAAGTACACTGCTAATTTTAAGGAAAAATTCAAGACAAAAGGAAGATGTTTCAGTGTACTGGAATTCCTGCAAATATTGTCTGCAGGCAGGCACAGTGCTCTTTGCATGCAAAGTTATATAAAGTAAGGTATTGCTGGTATACCTTTTAATCTGATGACTACCTAAGGACTGTCTGGCATCAATCAGCATGAGATATAAAATGTTTTTCTGTAAAACTGAAAAATACTGCAGCCTCTTTCCTCCTTCCCTTACTCTTTTATATTAAATTGTGTACATAATTCCAGTCACTTCATTGAAGATATTTGCTGTATGGGGATGTTGTGTCAGCTAGGTACAGTATAAGTGGAATCATACAAATCTTTATCCCACAGGTGCATATAATCTTTAATGACATTAAAGTTAATTTTATATTTTTTCTCCACCATAGACTTTGTCCAAGTTACCCTCAAAAACTGCTTGTTCCTGTGTGGATTACTGATAAAGAGCTTGAGAATGTGGCTTCATTCAGATCTTGGAAACGAATTCCTGTTGTTGTGTACAGGTAATGGTGATGTGACACCATTTTCAGGGCAAAATTTGCTATATGGCTTCTATCAATTTCCGTGAGGGCTGATTTGTGAAAAGTAAAGTGAAGGAACAACTAGAATTATCCCCGGGACAGCAACACACAATCTTATTAGTTAATTCAGTTAATTGTCTGTTTGCAGTTTTGTATTTCCCTAATCTATATAGTCCAAACAGATTGCACAGCAGCTTTTAGAGCAAGTTTACATCAGTCCTTGTTTCCCAACTCATAAACTAGAGCTATTTTGGTTAAGCTTCTGAATAATATGCCAATATGTTTTTGGATTTTTGAAAATCTTAACACATGCAAACTCCATGCAGATGGTGTCCCCTGTAAGATTTGAATCCAGAGCTGCAGGCCAGGAGTGACAGCTGTAGCTAGCATGTGGTTTTATAAAACATACATGCTGTATATGGCTACAAAATGTAAGCAACTTCTTTTTTTACAGACATACACGAACGGGTGCTGTAGTAGCTCGCTGTAGCCAACCAGAGATCAGCTGGTGGGGATGGCGCAATGCTGACGATGAGCATCTAGTAACTTCCATTGCAAAAGCCTGCGCACTTAACCCTGGAGGACGCACAGCTGCTGCCAGCCTAACTAACAAAGGCATCAGTGAGGGGACAGAGAATGCAGATACTGATTTTGGTAAGTTTTTATATATGTGCTAAAGTTATTAATTATGATTTTGGTAAGCTATATGTACAGCAGGTATAAATTGTAACTAGCAAGACATTCACAAAGTCTTATTTAATTTACCTCTCAGTTGTAGTAATTGCATTCAATGGTATTGTTTGTAGATTCTTCACTGACTACCTGCCCTGGCATGGAAGGTAGCACACCACCGCAGAAACTCCTCATTCTGGATGCACGATCCTACACTGCTGCTGTTGCAAACAGAGCTAAAGGTGGAGGTTGCGAATGTGAAGGTAAAGAGCATTCAAATGCCTTTTGACTGAGTGCTAAAGATAAAAAAAAAAAAAATCTGCAGTCTTGCAAATTGTTTTTTGTTTTTTTTTTGTTTTTCCCCTGTGTGTTTTTGTCTAAAATTACCCTTTCTAAACCACACAACCTTTACAAAAATTCTTCTAGTGTCAGAAACCCAGGACCTACATTTGTAATGCACATTTTGAGGTTTATTTATTACAGGTAATGCATTGCATTAATGGATGTCCTAATGCAGAGCCAGTATTTAGGTTTATCTACAGTGTTTTATAGATTACATAAGAGGGCTTGTTTAACGTTTTTAGGCCTGGTTCATAACTATGCAACTCTGCTTGCCATGTCTCCACGGGCACGGCAGCCCATTTATTTGAATGGGTTGTTATGCCTTTGTCTCCTGCACTAAAAAGGTCCCAGCGGCTAATTTTTTTTCTTTTTTTATGCGCGTCTGCACAGAAATCGCATGGTGCTTTTTTTCACCATGCATTTCCATGTGTGGGAAACTAACCACATTTTTCAGTGCATGGGTGTGCTATTAAGTGTTAATGGCACCTTGCACTTTTTCTTGACATCACTAAGTTTCCTGTGTGGCTGCATGCGGGTGCGAGAATTACTCACGATTTACATGCATTCCCACACCTGCACAGATGTGAAACCTAACCTTTCTTGCTCAGAACATGTAAATACTTTAGTGTGCATGCTCTGGGCATATGTTCACTTTTATGTGCACCATCTCCTTAATTGCACATACAGCCACCTTTGGTGCTCAGCCATATGAAGGTTGAGGTAAGCCAATGCCAACCAATGGTAGTTCCTCAGAATTTAGAGCCAATCAAATGTAATTTTCCTGTGTTGGTAATGGGAGTGTGTTGTGCTTTTGTTTTTCCAGAGTACTATCCAAATTGTGAAGTAGTATTTATGGGAATGGCCAATATTCACTCTATCCGGAATAGCTTCCAGTATCTGCGAGCTGTGTGTAACCAAGTGCCCGATCCTGGAAAGTAAGTGTGCGACTGTGTGTCTAATTGTATGTACAGTATATACAATGAGGACAGTTGCGGTATCTACTATCCATTAGAGTACTTTATGGCATTAACCCTAGATTCTAGTATGAATCTGTTCCCTGTACACAGTATAAGCAGTTATTTTAGGAGCAGATTATGTTATCAAGAACAGTTTGTTGGTTTTCTGCAGTCTGACATTGTAATGGAAGTGCAATACGGTAACTGCTTTTATTCCAGAACTCTGTTAATCAACTAACCACATAACAAAATCAACACTATAACCTATTCTGTGAAGAAAACACTGTGGAGTTCATGTTCCCCAAGGACCATGTCATACTGGCCATCCAGTCATTAGTGACAGGTTAGTTAGAAAAGGCACTGCTTTCCTTTTTTCCACTGCGTTACTCCTTCAGTGACAGAAGCACTGCAAAATCTCCCTCCTGGCAGTGCTGTGGAAACAGGAGAATGTTTCTCTGTTCTATGTATGGGACCTGTCATTGGGGAATTGATGCCAGCAACAGAATTGCAAGTGTGACATGGCCCAACAGCCAGAAATACAATATGCAGCCACTACTGATGTCACAAAAAAATCATCTTCACACTCAATCAAGAAAAGGAATTTATATAAAGTAAATGCTAAGAAGGACTTAAATAATAGTAAGAACTGAATATTTAGCTTTGCACCTTCACTCCTCAGATGAGCCCCAATTCCTGCACCTTCTCACTTCAGATCAGCCCTAATTCCTGCCCCTTTACTCCTCACAACAGCCCCATTTGCTGTGCCTTCAGGATTCATATCAGCCCCAATTCCTGCCTTTTGTAGAGCAGTGTATAGAGGTCAGCAGGGGAGTGTACAGGAGTCAGTAGGGCAAACGGGGTTCAGCAGGGTGGAGGATGGGGTCACTGGGGCAGTGTACTGTGGGTCAGCAGGGCATAGGACAGAGGGCAGCAGGGCAGAGGATGGGTTCAACAGGGAAGTGTATAGGGTTCAGAAGGGCAGAGGATTTGGGGTCAGTAGGGCAGTCTACAGGGATCAGCAGAGCAGAGGACCGGGGTCACAGCTGGCAGGGCACTCAGCAGCGCCTGTCCTCCCACACAGCACATAGCTGAGTATGTATTCTCTTGCAAGCACGTCCTTTATCTGCGCAGTGTGTAGCTGGCTACTGCAGCTATGCTGCTGTTGGAACTGAGGATTTCGCAGGTCACAATTGTAGCATAGCAGCCTATTACACACTGTGCAGATGGAGACTATGTTTGTAAGAAGTCTGGGGGGGGGGGGGAGTCGGCCATGTTCAACACTAGCTTTTAATGCTAGCTCAGCGCAGGCACAGAGTGAGGTGGGTGAGAATGGAAGCTGGCAGGAAAAGAGGTGGAAAGAACCAGCCAGACTCGCTGCTTTGTCCCAAGTTTCCCTTGCGGTGCCATCCCTAGCTCAATTGTCAATGGGTTGATGACCCCTGGCTTATATTTTAACACACTGCTGAGTGTTGTGTTTTTTTGTTTTTTTTTTATTAACTGATCACTTACACATGTATATCTTAAATACTTTTATAAGGCTGTAGATTCCATTTTAATGTGCTACTTTTTTGTATAGGTGACTGGTCTGTTTCTGATCAGCTCTTAATATGGCTGCCTCCCATGTGTATCTGATATAGGTACACTGTATCGGCATAATTTGATATATATTTTTCATCTTGTAATCCTTGGCCTGTCCATTTTTTTTTTTTTTTTTTTTCGTTTCCATCAACTAACACCGCCATAACAATCTTTCTCTCTCAAGATGCCACTTACGTGTCAGATGGTGAAAAGCTTTATGTGTTTTGTAGCTGGCTGTCAGCACTGGAAAGCACCAAGTGGCTTCAGCACCTCTCTGTCATGTTGAAAGCCGCCACTGTTGTGGCCAATGCTGTGGATCGGGAAGAACGGCCTGTGCTGGTTCACTGTTCAGATGGCTGGGACCGAACGCCACAGATTGTATCTCTGGCGAAAATCCTGCTGGATCCATATTACCGGACCTTGGAAGTATGTATATGTTCCTACACCATATGAGCAGGCTATATTGCCAATTGCTTTTTGTTAACCATGCTTTTTTCAATTCCAGGGATTCCAAGTGTTGGTGGAGACGGACTGGCTGGACTATGGCCATAAGTTTGGTGATCGCTGTGGTCATCAGGAGAATGCTGAGGATCAAAACGAACAGTGTCCAGTCTTTTTACAGTGGCTGGACTGTGTGCATCAGTTACTTCACCAGTTCCCTTGTCTCTTTGAATTCAACCATGCCTTCCTGGTAAAGCACTGGTTTCTTTACAGCCATATTATTACTTTGTTGTATGTATTTAGGTCATTAGGAAAGAAATGTTCTGTATTCTGTGTTTTTTTTTTTTTTTTTTTTTCCTGTGTGGAATAGATGGCACATTTTGCATCCTGCCTTTAAAATAACCGTGAGAGCCTAATTGCGATTATTTTGCTACATTGTGGACAATGATGACTTGGATTAGTATGAATAATCCAGCAAGTAGCAATATGAAAGCTTTAACCACAAGCCTACAGGGCACTTATACCCCCTTCCTGTCCAGGCCAATTTCCAGCTTTCAGTGCTGTCGCACTTTGAATGACAATTGCGCAGTCATGCAACACTGTACCCATATGAAATTTTTATAATTTTTTTTTGTGACAGATAAAACTTTATTTTGGTGGTATTTATTCACCACTGGGATTTTTATTTTTTCTTAAAAAAACCACAGAAAATTTTGAAAAAAAATTTTTTTTTCTTAGTTTTTGTTATAAACTTTTGTAAATAAGTGATTTTTCTCCTTCACTGATGTGCGCTAATGAGGCTGCAGTGATGGGCACTGATAGGTAGCACTGATGAGGCACTGATAGCTGGCATTGATGAGTCACTGGTAGGTGGCACTGATGGGCATTGACAGGCATCACTGATGGGCACTGAAAGGCAGCACTGATGCATGGCACTGATAGGCGGCACTGACTGGTACTGTTAGATGACACTGTTAGGCGGCACTGACTGGTACTGTTAGATGACACTGTTAGGCGGCACTGATGCGCACTGATTGGTGGCACTGATGGGTGACACTGAAAGGCAGCTCAGATGGGCACTGATATGTGGCATTGATGTGCACTAATATGTGGCACTGATGGGCACTGGCACGAGGCACTGATGGATACTGACAGGTAGCACTGCTGGGGCTACACTGATCATCAGTGCCCTGATGATCAGTGTACATGTCCCCTCCACGGAAAGCCGATTACCAGCTCTCCTCTCCTCTCGAGCTGTCAGCGTGACAGCTTGAGAGGGGAGAAATGCCGATAACCGGCATTTCCCTGTTTACATGTGATCAGCTGTGATTGGACACAGCTGATCACATGACCGAGCCGACATATTCGGCTCTTTCCGTGATCAGTGATCCGCTGTGTCCGAGGGACACAGCGCACCGCCGATCGCCGTGCGCTCCCTGAGCGGTGAGAATGGGAGGATGTGATATGACGTCCTCCCAGAACAAGCGAACCACCTTGCGTCTGTCATATTACTATATGGCAGGCGGGAGGTGGTTAAATATGTTCTAGTTTGTGTAGCATGAAACAGGGCTATAAATGGAGATTAGGATAGCTGAGTTGTATATTTAAATCTTGAATGTGGCTTTCACTATTGTTGGTTTCCTAGTACTGGAGTTTTTTCCTTCGTATCATAAACATATGCTAATAGCATCCTTTTTCTGGCATATAGGTGAAGTTAGTACAACACACATACTCCTGCCTTTATGGAACGTTCCTTGCCAACAATCCATGTGAGCGAGAACAGCGCAACATCTACAAGCGGACCTGCTCAGTGTGGTCCCTATTGAGAACCGGCAACAAGAACTTTCACAACTTGCTGTATATGCCTGGTGGAGAGCTGGTAGGTGGAACATGATACTACTGGAAAAAATTGTCTCCACATCTCCTGCATGAATCTACTATACAGACAGTGCATACATAAACTATGGGTTTTTTTTTTTTTTTTTTTCAATAATATCACCGGTTTGTGTACAGAAGTATTGAGCAGTATTTTTCTTTAGGTTCTACATCCGGTTTGTCACGTTCGGGCGCTTCAGCTATGGACAGCGGTGTATCTACCTGCATCTTCACCATGTACACCTATTGATGACGGCATGGAGCTTTACCTTTCCCCAGCCTCTCAAGGCCCTGACTTTAATTCCAGGTCCCTGGACAGGTAACACTGCTTGTATTACAGCTAAAGGACATATAAGCATATAACATTGCATAATATAGATAAACAAAAATGTGTTTTCCACTGAAGAACAGTGTAGTCAGCATTTTCTCAGGCCAAAAACACAGCTCAAAAAGCAGCATACGGTTTAGTTTAATACAGTTGTTTTAGTGCTGCCTTTTGTATTTTGGTAGTGTTGAATAGTTTTTGTTTTATTTGTATAAAACAAGGTGTCATTCAACAGTTGAGTAATTCTTAAAAAGCCTTGCTTAATCTCATACTCTGATAGTATCCCAACCAAAACATGCTGCAAGTTTGTGTTTGGCCTTTTAAGCCTGGATTTGTACGTACGTATTGCAGCATTTTTTTGATGTACAGTGACTTGAAAAAGTATTCATACCCCTTGAAATTTTCCACATTTTGGTTATGTTACAACCAAAAACGTAAATTTATTTTATTGGGATTTTATGTGATAGACCAACACAAAGTGGCACCTAATTGTGAAGTGAAAATTGACAAATGGTGTTCAATATTTTTTACAAATATCTGAAAATTGTGGTGTGCATTTGTATTCAGCCCCCCTGAATCAGTACTTTGTAGAACCACCTTTTTCTGCAATTACAGCTGAAAGTCTTTTCGAGGATGTCTCTACCAGCTTTGCACATCTAGAGGGTGACATTTTTGCCCATTCTTAATTGCAAAGTAGCTCAAGCTCTGTCAGATTGGATGGAGAGCATCTGTGAACAGCAATTTTCAGTTCTTGCCACAGATTCTTAATTGGATTTGGGTCTGGACATTGACTGGGCCATTCTAACACATGGATATGCTTTGATCAAAACCATTCCATTGTAGCTCTGGCTGTATGTTTAGGGTTGTTGTCCTGCTGGAAGGTGAACCCTCCTCCCTAGTCTCAAATCTTTTGTAGACTCGCAGGTTTTCTTCTAAGATTGCTCTGTATTTGGCTCCATCCATCTTTCCATCAACTCTGACCAGCTTTTCTGTCCCTGCAGAAGAAAAGCATCCCCACAACATGATGTTGCCACCACCATGTTTCACGGTGGGGATGATGTGTTCAGGGTGATGTGCCGTGCCGTGTTAGTTTTTCGCCAGACGTAGCAGCTTGCTTTTAGGCCAGAAAGTTAAATTTTGGTCTCATTTGACCAAAGCACCTTCTTCCACATGTTTGCTGTGTCCCCACATGGCTTCCTGCAAATGGTACTTCTTATGGATTTCTTTCAACAATGGCTTTCTTCTTGCCACTCTTCCATAAAGCCCAGATTTGTGGAGTGTACAACTAATAGTTGTCCTGTGGACAGATTCTCCCACCTGAGCTGTGGTTTGCAACTCCTCCAGAGTTACCATGGGCCTCTTGGCTGCTTCTCTGATGTTTTCCCTGCCCGGCCTGTCGGTTTAGATGGACGGCCATGTCTTGGTAGGTTTGCACTTGTGGCATACTCTTTCCATTTCCTGCTTTAAACCCCTTCACAACTTTATCCCTGACCTGTCTGCTGTGTTCCTTGGCCTTCATGATGCCGTTTGTTCACTAATGTTCTCTAACAAACCTCTGAGGGCTTCACAGAACAGCTGTATTTATACTAAGATTAAATTACACACAGGTGGACTCTATTTACTCATTAGGTGATGTCTGAAGGCAATTGGTTTCACTAGATTTTAGTTAGGGGTATCAGAGTAAAGGGGGCTGTATAAAAATGCACGCCACACTTTTCAGATATTTTATTTGTAAAAACATTTTTTTTAACTATTTATCATTTTCGTTCCACTTCAAAATGATGTGTTAGTCTATCACAAGAGTCTCCAAACTTTGTAAACAAAGGGCCATATTACTGTCCTTCAAACTCTTCAGGGGCCGGACTGTAGCGGGTGGGAGAAAAGTGTGTCCTAGCATCAGGGGAGTAAACAATGCCCCATCATTGGTATTAGGGAGAGTAATAGTGCACCTTTGCTGGTATCAATGGAAGGAATAGTGCCCCTTTGCTTGTATCATTGGGAGGAATAGTGCCCCATCATGGGTGTCAATGGGAGGAATAGTGCCCCATCGTGGATGTCAATGGGAGGAACCATACCCCATCATTGGTGTCAATGGGAGGAACTGTGCCCCATCATTGGTGCCAATGGGAGGAACTGTGCCCCATCATTGGTGCCAATGGGAGGAACTGTGCCCCATCATTGGTGCCAATGGGAGGAACTGTGCCCCATAATTGGTGCCAATGGGAGGAACTGTGCCCCATCATTGGTGCCAATGGGAGGAACTGTGCCTCATCATTGGTGCCAATGGGAGGAACTGTGCCCCATCATTGGTGCCAATGGGTGGAACCGTGCCCCATGATTGGTGCCAATGGGTGGAACCGTGCCCCATGATTGGTGTCAATGGGAGGAACCGTGCCCCATGATTGGTGTCAATGGGAGGAACCGTGCCCCATGATTGGTGTCAGTGGGAGGAACCGTGCCCCATGATTGGTGTCAGTGGGAGGAACCGTGCCCCATGATTGGTGTCAGTGGGAGGAACCGTGCCCCATGATTGGTGTCAGTGGGAGGAACCGTGCCCCATGATTGGTGTCAGTGGGAGGAACCGTGCCCCATGATTGGTGTCAGTGGGAGGAACCGTGCCCCATGATTGGTGTCAGTGGGAGGAACCGTGCCCCATGATTGGTGTCAGTGGGAGGAACCGTGCCCCATGATTGGTGTCAGTGGGAGGAACCGTGCCCCATGATTGGTGTCAGTGGGAGGAACCGTGCCCCATGATTGGTGTCAGTGGGAGGAACCGTGCCCCATGATTGGTGTCAGTGGGAGGAACCGTGCCCCATGATTGGTGTCAGTGGGAGGAACCGTGCCCCATGATTGGTGTCAGTGGGAGGAACCGTGCCCCATGATTGGTGTCAGTGGGAGGAACCGTGCCCCATGATTGGTGTCAGTGGGAGGAACCGTGCCCCATGATTGGTGTCAATGGGAGGAACCGTGCCCCATCATTGGTGTCAATGGGAGGAACCGTGCCCCATCATTGGTGTCAATGGGAGGAACCGTGCCCCATCATTGGTGTCAATGGGAGGAACCGTGCCCCATCATTGGTATTAGGGGGATGAATAGTGCCTCTTTGTTAACAATGTTAGGAATAGTACCCCATCATAGGGAGGAATAGTGCCCCAAATCATTGGTATCAGTGGGAGGAATAGTGCCCCAAATCATTGGTATCAGTGGGAGGAATAGTGTCCCATCGTTGGTGTCAGTGGGAGGAATAGTGTCCCATCGTTGGTGTCAGTGGGAGGAATAGTGTCCCATCGTTGGTGTCAGTGGGAGGAATAGTGTCCCATCGTTGGTGTCAGTGGGAGGTATAGTGTCCTTACATTGGTGTCAGTGAGAGAGCTAGTGCCCCATTGTCTGTGTCAAGAACTATGCCTCACTGTTGCTGACAGTAGGGGGAATAATGGCCCAAGGGCCAGATAAAAGCAAGCAAAGGGCCACATCCGACTTGAGACCAATGGTATATCACATTAAAATCCCAATAAAATACATTACTTTTTTGGTTGTAACCTGACAAAATGTGGAAAATTTCAAGGGGTATGAATACTTTTTCAAGGCACTGTACATCATGATGCATTGCTTGGCACTGCAATTCCCCTCAAAAGCCGTTATGGCACATGGTGACAGAAGGCTAAAACGATCAGAAGACATTTTTTTTTTTTTTTTTTTGGTCAATACACCGCTTTTATATGTGTACCATTAAAGAGGAATGTCCCTATGCACTTGTGTTTGATACTCCTTTTGCAGGATAAATAAACCTGCAAGCCCAGCAAAATCTACATTGTCCTTTTCTCAAACACTGGTCTTCTGCTGGATGTGCAGACCCACACTGTCATCCTGAAATGCTCATAATTGGGAGCCAACTGTCTCTCCCTCATTTCTACTGTTGGCCCCTGAGACATGCCATTTGACTTGCACATGCACAAACATTCCAGTAAATCTTGAATAGAGGGAAGGCTTCAATACTTTAGCGCAGCCTGCTGGTTGTACAGTATAACATATATAATCTGGGAGGTTGCAGGCAGTGGGTCATCATCCTCGTCTATGTGAAAGTGAAAAGGGAAGCTGCTGCTGGTGGGGGGAAAAAAAGCACTTACAAAACAAAATGGTGACTAACTTCTGCATATGTGTTTTAGAGGTTTTTTGTTTTTTTTAAAACTCGTAGGTGTGAACAGACCCTTAAAGTGTTAAAAAACCCAGGCCCCTGCATATATCTAGTCTCCCACAGTACACAGAACATAGAAATGCAATTATTTTAGTAAATATAAACTGCTAAATACCTTTTCCCATCAGCTGTATATAGCAGTCTTGTGACTTCTGTAAGTGTCCAGCAGAGCACTGCTTAACCGCTTGCTGCCCTGCCACTGTATATATACGTGTGCAGGGCGGCAGTGGAGCGCAAAAGCACGTTTTAAAACTGGCTCCGCGCTCCCGACACTTTCGCAGGTAGGGGGCACGCTCGCTCCCGCCGACCCGCGGGTGACACGATTCGATCCAGTAGAGATCAATCATTAGATTTCAGCCGGTGATTTCTGGCTGAAATCAGATGATCGGTCCCTGTCCTATCCTGTCCTGTGTTGACATTTACACAGGGCAGGATATGATGTCATTCTTCTCTGCCTGGACACATTCCGTTCCAGACAGAGAAGACGACACAGTAAAAGTGAGTACAAAGCACTACACTAACAGTTAGAACACACCTAGGACACATTTAACCCCCCTGATCGCCCCCCGTTAACCCCTTCACTGCCCTGTCACCAGTGTCACTGATCAGTGAAGCGATTTTTACTGATCACTGTATCAGTGTCGCTGGCGACTTCCGATAGTGTTAGCGCCCCTCCCAGATAGCGCCGGATTGCCCGCTAAAACGCCAATAATCCCGTCTAACCCCTTGATCGCCCACCCCCCCGACCCCGAGTTGACCCCTTCACTGCCCTGTCACCAGTGTCATTGATCATTGAACAGATTTTTACTGATCACTGTATCAGTGTCGCTGGCGACTTCCGATAGTGTTAGCGCCCCTCCCAGATAGCTCCAGTTTGCCCGCTAGTGCACCAGAAATCCCATTTTAACCCCTTGATCGCCCCCCTCCCCCCCCCCACCCCCCCCCCCCGTTAACCCCTTCACTGCCCTGTCACCAGTGTCACTGATCAGTGAAGCGATTTTTACTGATCACTGTATCAGTGTCGCTGGCGACTTCCGATAGTGTTAGCGCCCCTCCCAGATAGCGCCAGATTGCCCGCTAAAACACCAATAATCCCGTCTGACCCCTTGATCGCCCACCCCCCCCCCCCGAGTTGACCCCTTCACTGCCCTGTCACCAGTGTCATTGATCAGTGAACAGATTTTTACTGATCACTGTATCAGTGTCGCTGGCGACTTCCGATAGTGTTAGCGCCCCTCCCAGATAGCTCCAGTTTGCCCGCTAGTGCACCAGAAATCCCATTTAACCCCTTGATCGCCCCCCTCCCCCCCCCCCCCCCCCCCCCGTTAACCCCTTCACTGCCCTGTCACCAGTGTCACTGATCAGTGAAGCGATTTTTACTGATCACTGTATCCGTGTCGCTGGCGACTTCCGATAGTGTTAGCGCCCCTCCCAGATAGCGCCAGATTGCCCGCTAAAACACCAATAATCCCGTCTGACCCCTTGATCGCCCACCCCCCCCGAGTTGACCCCTTCACTGCCCTGTCACCAGTGTCATTGATTGCAGTGAACAGATTTTTACTGATCACTGTATTAGTGTCACTGGTGACTTCCGATAGTGTTGGCGCCCCTCCTAGATAGCGCCAGTTTGCCCGCTGATGCACGGGATTTTTTTTACCAAAAACATGTAGCAGAATACATTTTGGCTTAAATTTATGACTAACTTTGAGTTTACGATATATTTTTTATAGCTGAAAGTAGAAAATATTGGGTTTTTTTTCAAAATTTTCGTGGTTTTTTTGTTTATAGTGCAAAAAATAAAAAGCGCACAGGTGATCAAATACCACCAAAAGAAAGCTCTATTTGTGTGAAAAAAAAAGGACGTAAATTTCGTTTGGGTACAGCTTTGCATGACCGCGCAATTATCATTTGAATTAGTGCAGCGCCAAACAGCAAAAAAAGGCCTGGTCATTAAGGGGGGTAAATCCTCAGGTGCTCAAATGGTTAAAGCTTGGATGAGTTTTATATTGCTCTAGTAGGATGCAGAACCCCTTACTTCTGTCTGGACAGCGCTGATTGGCCCTGTGGTGATCACATGCACTCTCCCAAGAAAAAAAAAAAACCTCTCTAGCAATACACACCAAACTGAACATGTGCAGAGTGACTCCACATGATATGTCTTATCAGGAGATAGGAGGAGGGCACTAGCAGAAGGGAAGGATAAGCGAAAACAGGATCAAACAGCCTTTTTACACAATGCAGATGATTAACCCCTTAGGTTCCACAGTGAGGTGTAACAAGCATGCTTTACTGCATATACAGACTGATTTTAGTGGTGTGGGTTTGGTAACACTTTTTAAATTTATAATGCATACTCGTCTCCAACTCATGCCCTCTCAAGGAAAACCCTCACTGTGCTCAATGTATCTTATATAAGCATTGTTGTAAGATACAGGACAGCTATGTATGTAAAATGTCCATTAAAATGACTGGTATTCATGCAACATTCTGTTGCTCTTTGCTAAATGTGATGCATAGTCTGTTTCACATGCACTTCATGTTCTATGCGAGCAATGTGAACAGAATACCTGGAGCAGCTTTCTCTAAACCTTTAAAGTGTCCTTCAGCTCCTGTTTTGGAAATGCTATACACAGTTCATAATGGGAATGTTGATTGGCACTTTTAACAAACTGCTAGCAGACTTCAGCAGGCTTTCAACAAGTTTCAAGTAGTGCTGAAGCCTGCTAGCAGCTTATTTAAAGTAGCAATCAGCCTCCTTATTAAGATATGTGTTCAACATTTACAAACTGGAGCTGAATAGTACTTAAGAAACTTCAACAAAGCTTACTGAAAGTTTTGCTAATGCATTGAAAAAGCATGCTGTCCACACTGCTTTCATACAAGCTGAGACCTATGTAACAGGCCTAAGGCCAGGTTCACACTGGTGCTCTGGATTTTGGCTGCAGCGTGGGCTTATACATTGTTTACATGCATTTTACACGCACTTCTAGCCGCAGGTCCGTTGACTTCTATTTTCTCATGCCTTTTTCCCATGTTTTCTGAAAGTGCAGTAAAAATCTTGCATCTTTGGTGCACTTTCAGAAAACTTGGCAAAAACTTGCAACCTAATAAAAGTCAATGGAACTGTGACTGAAAAGACATGTAAACTGTGCTTACACCCAGACTGTGGCGCCCAGCCTAAGACAGGCCATACACAGAGCGTGTTTCTTTCCTGAAACCATGCCCGATTCCCTCATCAACCAGCCGCTAGCGATGATCTCATGCAAAGTCCGGCAGGCTGGTTGTACTAAGTTGATCGATCAATCAACTTTGTACATCTAGCCTGCCCATTCACTGTTCAAATCTCATCCGATTCCTGCTGAACCCACCAAGATACGATTCGTTTATGGCTAGTCTAAGAGAAAGTAGTTCTGGTCTTGGATTGACAGATAAGAAATGACTTTATTTTCTTTAATGTAAACAGATTGGCATACTTATCCACCTTAATCCTAAACCTACTGATCTCCCAAAATATTTTCATATTCATCCATGAATGTTTTAAGATGCATCCTATAAAGGTTTATACAAAATGTATTGTTCTTTAACAGTCCTTCAGTACTGAATTTTTATGTGCTCGTTTTAGATTACCTAAAACCCGTTCAATGGAGAATCTTGCAACTGCATGTGACAGCGGAGGAATACTGACACGTACTTCAAGTGACCCAAACCTAAATAAACATCAATCTAGCTTAGACTCTCATTGCAGTAATGATAGTGAAGCAGGAAGTCAGGGTGTTCTGCAGCAGAAGGATGGTGAAAGAAAGGAAGAAGCAGATAATAATCTCCATAAAGTCGACCATGATGAAGAAGACAACCGAGAATGCAAAGAAAGTCATGAGAATATTCAGCTGAATGAAAATGGAACTTCATCAGATACGGAAGCAAAGTCAGCTAACTCAGAATGTGACAGTGATAATCCTGCACTAGAAAATAAAACTGAATTATTGGAACAAAATATAAATACGGTTACCGATAGGGATCAACACACAAGCCCCGACTTGACACATCTTCCCTGTCAGAGCTCTGAGGGCAATTTAACTACCAATAACTCTTCATGTAAAGATAATAGCAAGCCTGGGAAGCTAACAAAGGACATATATAGGACTGACAAAAAAGCGATCTGTCAAATTCCAAGAAGTGACATTTCTTTGTTGGCATCAAATTGGGACAGCTTACAAGGAATGATGAAGTCAGTACCCATTGGTGAGACTGTGCTTCATCATCCTATGTCATATGACTATTCCACAAGGAGTCTCCATAGCAAACATGGAAGACATACTGCGGGCTCATACAGTTCCAGAGATGCTGCAAAGGTTTCCTATCATTTCCGTCCCTCTTTGCACTGTTCTGGCCCGTCAGTAAGAAGCTGTAGAGGGCCTGTAACATGTCATCCTAGGCCGTTTCATACCGGGCGATTCTTTCCTTTGGCTTGTCCTTCGCCCGCACCTCTCATGTACCAAGATGATGATGGTTTGCCTATTCCGAATGACGTAGTACAACAGCGGTTGCGGCAAATGGAAGCTAGCTACAAACAAGAAGTTGAACTCCTCCGTAGGCAGGTGTGGGAACTGCAGTTACAGCTGGAAATTCGACAGTATTGTGCTCCGCCGCCTGAACCAGAGACTGACTACGAAGATGACTTTGTGAGTTTTTATGTGAATATCTAACTACATGCAAACTGGCATTTCCAAATGTCTCCTTTTGATGATTGAACGGTGAATGGATGTTATTGGAGGGATCATTAATCTCTGTGTTAAACATAGGCTTACACATTTCTTTGTGGCCTAAGCACCCAATAGAGAAAACAAGCGTTGTTTGCATTCTAGATGAGCTATGAATTTAGACATCTGTCTTAACTGTCAAGATCCACCGTCTCCATATTAACATCCATTCATCCAGCCACACACCCCTGTCTCTATGTATCTTTAGATTATTTATCTTCTTACAGATTTAGAATTTTCTTACATTTGCCTTGGCTGCCCAAATAACAACATTTTGTTTTATTTCCTCATGTAAATCAGTTGCTGGTCATATCAAAATTATGACTTGTAGTAGAGATCACTTCAATTACGACCACATGCCTAGCTCTGAGCTGCTTACTTCTGTTCACTCGAGGCTCATGCTGCAGACTGACCTGCATTTCTTCTGCATACAAGTCAGTGTGCATGCACAAGAAGGTCAAAGCAACTGCTTGTGCAACATCAAAGTGGTTTAGAAGCACCTGACTGCATTTGGCTCATGTATGCAACTCATTCCTGACTACACTTATGCCCTTATACCCAATAATAATAACATACTTATATCTAAAGTCAAAACCTTTTTGGTTTTGTACATCTTGACAAATGGTTAGAACGCCATTTGTGTACAACACTGGCTGTAATTTGAAACAAGTCAGCGAGGCAGTCTGTAGGTGGAGACACGCGGTGTGCTTGTGCTGGCTCAGATACTTACTAGGTAGATGTCATTTTTGTGCTGTCGTCTGTTTGTGGTTAGAACCACTGTCAGGTTTTCTTTTTCCCTGGTTTGTGCCTACCGCGGCAGTTTGCTGCCATTTAATGTCCTGGCAATACAATAGGAAGTGAGAGAGAATCTCTCTAAATGAAGGGAAATTCCCATTTAGGCATTTTTAACTGCACTGGGTGCCCCCATTAAAATTTGGTTCCTGAAACAGTAGAATTTTGGATTTGCCATCACTTCTTGTTGCAGAGTGTTAAATGGTCACCAAGACAATTAGAAAGGGAGTGTCTCCCAAGCAGTACTGAGACAACTAAAGAAAACCTGACAGGGATTCTAACCCTTCTGTGCTGTATCCAAGACCACTCCTTCCCTAATCTGTTGTGAAATTTGAGGATGAATTTCTCAACAGTGTCTGCAGCTTCATAGGTCAGTTAGGGCTTGTGTTTTAGCTCACTGACCACTTGGTTAGAATATGCAAATGTATAAATGACCATAGCCTGGCCGCAGGTTTAGTTTCCGTTCACACTGCATGCTAATAAAAAAATCATCCAACCTCACTTGAAGTGCATGTCAGTGCAATTTCAGGTGCGACGTGCAGACATCTGTGCGACTTCCTGCACAGATGTCTATGCAAGTCGCACCCGAAATCAGCAAAAGTAGTGCAGGAGCAACTTTTCAAATCGGTTCGACTGCAACAAAGTTGGAGTCTTACTGATTAGAACAGTTCCATTGCTGATCATTGGATGCGATTTTGTCATGCAAACAATCAAATCACATCACAAGTTGCATCAGTGTCAAGTCAGGGCTTACTTTAGACCCAGTCTAATTTAAGATTATCTCCAGTTCAGTAATGATTCTGTAATCTGATTATGAAATTATAAATGTGAAAAGCTCCACTCCATAGATATAATAATTATTTAGCTGCAGTCACTAAACTCACTGTGAAGTGTGCAAAGAAACAAATGTGTATGACTGCGCTCAATACCTCAAGTGTTAGGCTTTCTAAAACAAGAAAAAGTGTTAAAAGAATGCTATATAAAATGTATCAACAAATTATTCACATTCAAAATATTGTGCGACAGTTCACAAACTGTGTGTGGATAATAACTATTATTGAATCCAAACATGGAAGTGCAATTAGTTTAGTAAATATAAACTGCTAAATACCTTTTCTCATCAGCAGTTAGAGCAGTCTTGTGACTTCAGCTGAGCACTGGTTAAAGCTTGTAGGAGGAGTTTTTCTTTCTGCTCTAGGAGGATACAAAACCCCTGACCTCTGTCTGGACAGTGCTGATTTGGCCCTGTGATGATCACATGCACTCTCCCAAGAAAAAATAAAACCTCTCTAGCAATACACACTAAATTGAGCATGTGCAGAAGGACTACCGGTTCAGACTGTCTTATCAGCATGGACATTTCAAGAAGAGGAGGGGCAGAGAAGTCGGGATCAAACATCCTTTTTACACCACGCAGAGGATTAACCCCTTAGGTTCCACAGGGATTATAACAAGCATGCTTTACTGCATATACAGACTGATTTTACTGTTGTGGGTTTAGTAACACTTTAATGTCCACCATCAGGTAAAAAAAAAATTAAATGGATAGATAGAAATTTGTACAAAAAAAATCACTTTGCATAAAAGTATGATGTCAAAGCACCCAGTGTCCTTCACCTCTTCAAGTAAATGGCTCACCTCTTTCAACACGACTTTAAAATACAAAGTAAAAATTTAATTCCTAGAATATGTACACTGCTCAAAAAAATTAAAGAAACCCTTTTTAATCAGAGTATAGCATCAAGTCAATGAAACTCCTGGGATATTGGTCTGGTCAGTTAAGTAGCAGAGGGGGTGGTTAATCAGTTTCTGCTGCTTTAGTATTAATGAAATTAACAGGCGCTCTAGATGGGCAACAATGTGACGACCCCCAAAACTGAAATGGTTTTACAGGTGGAGGCCACTGACATTTTTTTTTTCCCTACCCCTCTTTTCTGACTGTTTTTCACTAGTTTTGCATTTGGCTAGGGTCAGTATACTACTGGTATCATGAGGCAATGCCTGGACCCTACAGAGGTTGCACAAGCAGTCCAACTCCTCCAGGATGGCACATCAGTACGTGCCTTTGCATGAAGGTTTTCTGTGTCTCCCAGCACAGTCTCAAGAGAATTGAGGAGTTTCCAGGAGAAAGGCAGTTACTCTAGGAGAGCTAGATAGGGCTATAGAAGGTCTTTAACCCATCAGCAGGAGAGCTGGACAGGGCCATAGAAGGTCCTTAACCCACCAGCAGGAACGGTATCTGCTCCTTTGTGCGAGGAGGAACAGGATGAGTACTGCCAGAGCCCTACAGAATGACCTCCAGCAGGCCACTGGTGTGACTGTCTCTGACCAAACAATCAGAAACAGACTTGAAGGTGGCCTGAGAGCCCGATGTCCTCTTGTGGGCCCTGTGCTCACTGCCCAGCACCACAAGCTCGATTGGCGCTTGCCATTGAACACCTGAATTGGCAGGTCCGCCACTGGCGCCCTGTGCTTTTTACAGATGAGAGCAAGTTCACCCTGAGCACATGTGACAGACGTGAAAGGGTCTGGAGAAGCCATGGAGAATGTTATGCTGCCTGTAACATCATTCAGCATGACCGGTTTAGTGGTGGGTCAGTGATGGTCTGGGGAGGCATACAAGCACATGGGGACCATACAAACTACTGAGTACCATTTTGAGTTGCTACAATTAAATTTCAGCAAAATGGACTAGTCTTCTGCATCATTTTTTCGCTTTGATTTTCGGGTGTCTTTGAATTCAGTCCTCTTGATAATTTTCCTCTCCAAACGATGGGGCATCCTTACGTTCCGAACACATTACCCAGTCCGTATCAGTATAGATATCCAGCATGATATTTTTCACCATTGAGATCTGATGTGTTTTCAAAGTGTTCCTTTAATTTTTTTTTTGAGCAGTGTATTGTATTCAGGGACCTGAAGGAGGGAATTGGGTGAGTATATCTGCCCTCACCAGATGAGGTGGAAAATTCTTGGTACCATGGTTTAGAAGACAGTGGGAAAGAGGTTTCATTAGAGAAAATAGTTTAAAGCCCCACTCCGGGCTAAAAGTTGTATTGGAAGCTGCATTTTGAATTTTCCTTTCCTGTGGCAGTGCTTTTGTATGATAGTTTAATTGTAACACATTTAACACATTCATCTGTCTCTGTCTGCTAACAGACCTGTGTAAAAGAGTCAGATGGTAGCGATATGGATGACCTGTACTCTGATAAAAGCGAGGACCGACTTTCAGAGGCCAGCTGGGAGCCCGTGGATAAGAAAGAAACTGAGGTAAGAAGCCTTTTTCTTCAACAGACCTATCGCTCGAAAAACAAAATGTATAATTTTTTGTTTTTTCTGTCTGTGAACTAAAATATCTGGATATGAAAAAGTGCAAATTAATATTTGCTTTGATGTTAGTGTTAGGTCTTCAACTACAGACATAAAATGTATTACAATCTTTACAGTAGCTTTGTATAATTATTTCCAGTGCTGATAAGTGGACTGAAACCTATTTCTCTACATAAAGGTTACAAGATGGGTACCTGATCACATGGCTTCACATTGTTTCAACTGTGACTGTGAATTTTGGTTGGCTAAGAGAAGACATCACTGCAGGTAGAATATTGTTTGTTTGAATTTTGTGATGCATAGGAATTCCAAGTCTAATGGAGTCCAAGTAAATGTCATTCTGTTTATTTGATACTAGAATGCCGTATAATCCATGGGCGTGATTTGTGATTGTGTACTCCGTACACAGAGTATACTCCGTAGTATGACCTTCATGAAATGTACTGATGATCTCCTGTCATAAACTGTGTAGTGCCACGAGAGTGCTGTTCTGGTCTTTTGGCCCACACATACGCCATGAATACTTTCTCCTATCACTTATGATGAGCCCAATGGTTGCTCTGCCCTACAATAACTCTGGATCGCTTGCTTCAGAGGATTTTAAGAAGATTCTTCTAATGCGGTTGTGGCCTTAATTGTTTAAACTGAAAGAGAGCATTGGTGGTTAGGTATGTTTATCACGCAGTGCTGCTATACCCATACCCATAGATGTGCACATTCAGGAACTGGGTTACTTTTTACACCTTTATTTCACTACTGAGCTTGCAGTGTCAGGGACTTGCACAGGTCCTCTATCGTTGCCTTCCTTGCTAAACACTGTTCTATGTTAACGTTCAGCCCCCCTGGTCAAATTCCATGTTGAGTTAACACAACCTATGCAGGGAATAAAGTTAAGCATGACCGGTTTATAATCATTTTTATACACCACTTTACCCACTTGAGCCCTAGGCAATTGTGACATTCCTTTCCTTCCTACATGTAAAAATCTTTTTTTTTTTTTTCTTTTTTTTTTTTAAATTTGCCAGAAAGTTACTTTTTGCAAGAAAATTACTTGGAACCCCCAAACCTTTTTATAATTTTTTTTTTTTTAAGCAGAGACCCTAGAAAATAAAATGGGTGTTCAGATTTACATGATTTTTTTTTTTAATTTTCTAATATATATATATATATATATATATATATATATATACATACATACATACATACATACATACATACATACATACATACATACATACATTTTTTTTTTTTTTTTTTTTTGTCACACTGCATTTGCGAAGCAGTTTTTCAAACTTAAACTAAAATAAAAATATTTTAATGCACAAAAACACAATATAATACCCAATTGTTTTGGTAAAATATAAAAGATGGTAGAGCAAGTAAATGGATACCAAACATGTCACATTTTAAAATTGTGTTCTCCTGTGGAGTGGCATCAAACTACGGTACCTAAAAAAAAAAAAAAAAATAAATAATAATCTTTAAAAGATTTTTAGGGGTTTAAGTTTTTAGAGTTACAGAGAAGGCTTGGAGCTAAAATTACTTGCCTCGCTCTGACATTCATTGCAATACCTCATGTGTGGTGCGATTTGTCGTTTACATATTCATGCAGGACCTTCACTTTAAAATTTTGTAATCCCTTTTTTCTTTTTTATTAAAAAAAAATGTACACTTTTTTTTTTTTTCTTTTATCCCTTTCTATTGTTATCAAAAGGGATGAACAACTTCCCTTGTGATAGCATGGGCAATGACAGGTCCTTTTTATGGAGAGGTCTATGGTCTATTAGACCCCAGATTTATCACTTGGCCTTCAAAGCATCTAAAAAAGATCAGTGTGATCAGATGTTTATTCAGAACCAGAAGTGACAAAATCCTCCTAGCTTCCGGTTTCTAACACCACACATTGGGAGGAACATCATCAGTTCCTCTCACTGTGTCCCAGGAACCAGATGCCACCTTTCACATTCTTACCAGGCTACCTGATTGCACAGGAGAGCGTGGTAAAGGTATGTATGTGTATGAATGTAAGTTGGGGACCTTAGATTGTACGCCCCTTGAGGGTTAGGGACTGATATGAATGTACAATATATATGTAAAGCGCTGTGTAAATTGACGGCACAATATAAGTACCTGAAATAAAAAAATAAAGGTGGGAGGAGAGAGGGACGCCCTTCTGCCTCCTGCAAAAGTAATCCTGTGGCCTATTAGCCTCTAGGATTACTTTTCCATGGAAGGAAATTGCTGGCAGAAGAAACTATCTCGATCACTGCTGCAGTGATGATGGAGATATCACATTTCCAATCCAGTGTCGTATTGGTATGTTACTGGACTAGAAGTGGTTAATCTATTTGATGACTCTAATAAACCAGGAATAATATAAGGTGAAACATGGCTCATGCAACACTTCTGAAATTCTGTCTGTTGGGCCATTGTAACACATTCTTTTCCTCCAAATGTTTCTGAAAAGCTGAAAGCTGACATTTCAAAATTTTCTCCACTAGCAGGCAGATACGTCAAGTAGAACTTGACCTGCCAGTGGACTTTTATCTGTGACCTTCTAGTCCTCAGGTTGATACCCTCTTGCCATACAGCCAAACTTTTTTTTTTTTTTTTTCCTCCTTTCAAAAGCGTGTTCCTTGTCAGTGTATTTGCATAAAAACACACCTGGTTGGCCCCTGGTTCTGCCCCTCCCTCTCAAAGTTTGACTTTTGCAGTGCAAGAGGATTATAGGAAGCTGATACAAAGTCAAATGCAGGTACTTGCATATGAGTGCATATTTTGCATTAATTAACATTTCATATTAAAGCTGAGTTCCACTTTAAGGCTTCATCCTCTGCTCCTTGTTAAGAATTGTCACCTTTGGGGAGGGGTGGGTGGGGTTACCCAATTTTGATAGATATCCACTTCTGCTGCGATCACCTAGACCAGTGATGGCGAACCTTTTTGAGCCCGAGTGCCCAAACTGCAACCCAAAACCAACTTATTTCTTTCAAAGTGCCAACACTGCAATGAAACCTGAATATCGAGCTTTTGGTTTGGAAAAAACAACTCGTACAGTAGTGCAAACTAATTAACAGTACAGGGATGACCAGAGACTGCGGACACAGTACAGGGATGACCAGAGACTGCGGACACAGTACAGGGATGACCAGAGACTGCAGACAGTACAAGAGATGACCAGAGACTGCGGACACAGTACAGGGATGACCAGAGACTGCGGACACAGTACAGGAGATGACCAGAGACTGCGGACACAGTACAGGAGATGACCAGAGACTGCGGACACAGTACAGGAGATGACCAGAGACTGCGGACACAGTACAGGAGATGACCAGAGACTGCGGACACAGTACAGGGATGACCAGAGACTGCAGACACTACAGGGATGACCAGAGACTGCGGACAGTACAGGGATGACCAGAGACTGCGGACACAGTACAGGAGATGACCAGAGACTGCGGACACAGTACAGGGATGACCAGAGACTGCGGACAGTACAGGGATGACCAGAGACTGCGGACACAGTACAGGGATGACCAAAGACTGCGGACACAGTACAGGGATGACCAGAGACTGCGGACACAGTACAGGGATGACCAGAGACTGCGGACACAGTACAGGGATGACCAGAGACTGCGGACACAGTACAGGGATGACCAGAGACTGCGGACACAGTACAGGGATGACCAGAGACTGCGGACACAGTACAGGGATGACCAGAGACTGCGGACACAGTACAGGGATGACCAGAGACTGCGGACACAGTACAGGGATGACCAGAGACTGCGGACACAGTACAGGGATGACCAGAGACTGCGGACACAGTACAGGGATGACCAGAGACTGCGGACACAGTACAGGGATGACCAGAGACTGCGGACACAGTACAGGGATGACCAGAGACTGCGGACACAGTACAGGGATGACCAGAGACTGCGGACACAGTACAGGAGATGACCAGAGACTGCGGACACAGTACAGGAGATGACCAGAGACTGCGGACACAGTACAGGAGATGACCAGAGACTGCGGACACAGTACAGGAGATGACCAGAGACTGCGGACACAGTACAGGAGATGACCAGAGACTGCGGACACAGTACAGGAGATGACCAGAGACTGCGGACACAGTACAGGAGATGACCAGAGACTGCGGACACAGTACAGGAGATGACCAGAGACTGCGGACACAGTACAGGAGATGACCAGAGACTGCGGACACAGTACAGGAGATGACCAGAGACTGCGGACACAGTACAGGAGATGACCAGAGACTGCGGACACAGTACAGGGATGACCAGAGACTGCGGACACAGTACAGGGATGACCAGAGACTGCGGACACAGTACAGATGATGACCAGAGACTGCGGACACAGTACAGGGATGACCAGAGACTGCGGACACAGTACAGGGATGACCAGAGACTGCGGACACAGTACAGGAGATGACCAGAGACTGCGGACACAGTACAGGGATGACCAGAGACTGCGGACATAGTACAGGGATGACCAGAGACTGCAGACATAGTACAGGGATGACCAGTGACTGCGGACAGTACAGGGATGACCAGAGACTGCGGACACAGTACAGGGATGACCAGAGACTGCGGACACAGTACAGGGATGACCAGAGACTGCGGACACAGTACAGGGATGACCAGAGACTGCGGACACAGTACAGGGATGACCAGAGACTGCGGACACAGTACAGGGATGACCAGAGACTGCGGACAGCACAGGGATGACCAGAGACTGCGGACACAGTACAGGGATGACCAGAGACTGCGGACACAGCACAGGGATGACCAGAGACTGCGGACACAGTACAGGGATGACCAGAGACTGCGGACAGTACAGGAGATGACCAGAGACTGCGGACAGTACAGGGGATGACCAGAGACTGCGGACAGCACAGGGATGACCAGAGACTGCGGACAGCACAGGGATGACCAGAGACTGCGGACAGTACAGAGATGACTGCTGACCTTTGGGGAGGGAGGGGGAGCGGGTACCTGAATTTGACAGGTACCCGCTCTTACTTCCGCAGAGTTTTTTTTTTTATCTTACCTGTTCCTTTATCCAGCCGCGCGCTGTCTTCCCGGCTTCTGTAGTGTGGGCGCTCATCGGACAGCCGGATGCCCAGTGCGCATGCGCGAGAAGTGCTGCCCTTTGTGATTGGTCCGGCGGCTTCTGGGATCTGTCATGTGTCCCAGGTACCGCCTTACCATTCACAAAGAGCACTGCTTCTTGTGCATGCGCACTTGGGA